ATCACTCACCTAGAATGAGACATCCTGCAATGTGAACTCAAGTTGGTCTTAGTGAAATGGGAAACCAAGTTCTTGTTTGCAGGGCAAAATAATGAACTTCACAAACACCCAAATCTCAGAGTAGCAAGCAAATAAGATTTATTTCAGAAGAAAGTATAAATCTCTCAGCATAGATACTGAGAGCAGGCAAAGAGTCCCCCAAAGGTGGGGCTAACAGCAGCATATCCTCATTAGTATTGATATGTACATTTGGTATTGATCTGGTTGGTTCCTGTCCAAAACATATGTCATTTCTAACCAATTATTTTTAAATGTTTAACTTGATACTTTTATGACTTCTTTTGATTCCCAGTTTCTAAGTCTTCTAAGACATTGAGTTACCGTCCTGTGACCCTACCTTATGACCTTGACCATTCCACAAAGGACCAGATATAGGCCAAAAGTTTATTTTCTACCTGTTGTTTTTCTTTTAGATAAGAGGGCCAGGAGTTAATGGTTGTCCTGTCCAGGATCTGAATGTTTGATCTACCAGACTGAAGATGAATTGTTCTGAAACTCAGGAGACTGAAACAAAGGGTATAGCTTTAGATTGTGGAGTGAGATGTTTACTGAAAAAAAGATGGAGATCAAAGAGCCCTACACTGCCTGCCTGCCTAGCAATTTCTACCTCATTAGGAAGCGTCACTATGAACAAAGCTTAAGGGAAGTGATGGAATTCCAGCTGAACTATTCCAAATCCTAAAAGATGATGCTGTTAAAGTACTTCACTCAATATGCCAGCAAATTTGGAAAACCCAGAGTAGCCACAGCACTGGGAAAGGTCAGTTTTCATTACAATACCATAGAAGGACAGTGCCCAAGAATGTTCAAACTACAGTCCCATTGTGCTAGTTTCACATGATAGCAAGGTAATACTCAAAATCCTCCAAGTTAGGCTTCAAGCAGTATGTGTAATGAGAATGTCCAGATGCACAGGCTGAATTTAAAAAGACAGAGGAAGCAGAGATCAAATCACCAACATCCTTTAGATCATAGAAAAAGCAAGAGAATTCCTGAAAAACATCTACATCTGTTTAATTGACCACACTAAAGCCTTTGACTGTGTCAATCACAACAAACTGTGGAAAATTCTTCTAGAGATATGAATGCCAGACCACCTGACCTGCCTCCTGAGAAACCTATATGCAGTCAAGAAGCAACAACTTGAACCAGACTTGGAATAATGGACTGGTTCCAAATTGGGAAAGGAGTACATCAAGGCTGTATATTGTCACCCTGCTTATTTAATTTATATGCAGAGTACTTCATGTGAAATGCCAGTCTGGATGAAGCACATGCTTGAGTCAAGGTTGCTGGGAAAAATATAAGCAACTTCAGATATGCATATGACACCACCCTTATGGCAAAAAATCAAAGAGGAATTAGAATCTCTTGATGAAGGTGAAAGAGGATAGAGAAAAAACTGGCTTAAAACTCAACATTCAAAAACTAAGATCATGGTATACAGTTGCATCACTTCATGGCAAATAGATGGGAAAACAAAGGAAATACTGACAGACTTTATTTTCTTAAGCTTCAAAATTACTGTGGCTGGTGACTGCAGCCATGAAGCTAAGAGATGTTTGTTTCTCAGAAGAAAAGCAATGAGAAACCTATACAATGTATTGAAAAGCAGAGATATTACTATGTCAACAAAGGTCCATATATTCAAAGCTATGGTTTTTCCAGTAGTCATTCATGGGTGTGAGAGTTGGACCATAAAGAAGGCTGAGCACTGAAGAATGGATGCTCATGAACTGGTATTGAAGAAGATTCTTGAGAGTCCCTTGGACGTCAAGGAGATCAATCCAGTCAATCCCAAAGGAAATAAACCCTGAATATTAATCAGAAGAACTGATGCTGACGCTGAAACTCCAATAACTTTGGCCACCCAATGGGAAGAGCCAACTCATTGGAAAAGACCCTGATGCTGGGAAAGACTGAGGACAGGAGGAGAAGGGGACGACAGAGGACAAAATGGTTGTATGGAATCACTGACTGAATGGACGAGTTTGAGCAAGTTCTGGGAGATTTTTAAGTACAGGGAAGCCTGGCATACTGCAGTCCATGGGTTTGCAAAGAGTCAGACATGACTGAGTGATGAGCAACAACTACTTCTAGCTTAAAACCATTCAGTGATTCTAAAATCAAAACCCCATAATCTCAATTCTGGTCCATAAGGTCCTGCATGACTCTATGCCTGCTGACTTACCCAGCCTTGACTTCCCACCTCCCTTTCTATTCCTTCAGCAATCCATGTTCTTTCCTACCTCCCAATGCCTCTACATCTGCTGTTCCTTCTATCTAGCAGAGACTGCAGGTGCTCACCAAAGATCAAGTTCTCCTTCACCAGCCGAGGTGTGCTGATGGACTATGTTTCCTAGATTCTCTTGCAATTATTATGGCCAGAGGATACAATCCTAGGCAATATTATGTGAGTAGAAGTAGCATATACTACTTCCAGGCCTGATTCATACAGGCAAACCTAACCTGCTCCTCCACGGTCTTTCCTCTTTCCCACTGGCTACAATGAAGATGAACACCAGCAACTTTGGTGGCCACATGTAGAAGATGGCAGATCATCTGTCAGAATGAGACTCAGAATGGCAAGGTAGAGAAAAGTCATCTAATTTTTCTGTCTTCTGCTCAGTACAGGTATCTGAGCAAGAAATATAATTCTATCATGTTTAAGCCAGTATATATTTTTGCAGCTATTACAATGGTTAAAACTATGTAATAAAAAACCTATACCCACCATAAATGGAAGACAGTAGAGAAAACCACTAGGCCATTCAGGTATGACCTAAATGAAATCCGTTATGATTATACAGTGGAGGTGATGAATAGATTCAAGGGATTAGATCCTGTAGATAGTGTGCCCAAAGAACTATGACCAGAGGATCATAACTTCGTATAGGAGGCAGTGACAAAATAAAACAGCCTTAAGAAAAAGAAATGCAAGAAGGCAAAGTGGTTGTCTGAGGAAGCCTCATAAATAGGTGAGGAAAGAAGAGAAGTAAAAGGCAAAGGAGAAAGGTAAAGATATATCCAATTGAATGCTCAGTTCCAAAGAATAGCAAGGAGAGATAGGAAAGCCCTTAGTGAATAATACAAAGAAATGGAGGAAAACAATAGAATGGGGAAGACTACAGTCCTCTTCAAGAAAATTAGAGCTACCAAGGGAACGTTTCATGCAAAGATGGGCATGATAAAGGACAGAAATGGTAAGCTAACAGAAGAACAAGAGATTAAGAAGAGGTGGTAGTAAGAAAGCACAGAACTATACAAGAAAGGTCTTAATGCCCTGGATAACCATGATGGTGTAATCATTCACCTAGGGCGATATGTTAAGTGCTGCACTGAATATGACAGCAAATTTGGAAATCTCAGCAGTTGCCACAGGACTGGAAAAGGTCAGTTTTCATTCCAANAAGATGTAACTTCTCTCACATCACTCCACTGTCTCCTCTCTCACTGTGTCCAAACGTCTGTTCTTCACGCCTGCATCTCCTTTGCTGCCTTGCCTGCAGGATCATCAGTCCTGTCTTTCTAGATTCCATGTATGTGCATTAATATTGTCTTTCTCTTTTTAACTTACTTCACTCTGTCTATGGCTTATTAATACTGATGTATGGCAGAAACCATCACAATATTGTAAAGTAATTATCTTCTAATTAAAAATTAAAAAAAAAAAACCCACACATAGCTTTTACAGGGTTCTGTTTTCCAGAATCTTGAATCTGTGAAAGAACTGAAGGAAATACACACACCTCCAAACCACCATGAAGATCAGTAACCCAGGAGCTCAACTCTCCTATAGACTGGGCATCCTCATTAGGTCTATGGAGAATTCATACATTTCTCCACAAAGGACTATTTAAAATATGCAACCTCTTTTTGACCCATGAAATAGCCCTGCTCCATTCCACATGGAGCTAAGAGCTCTTTTATTTGGCCATTTAAGCCTATGGTTATTTAACAGTGTGACTACTCAATACCTCCTTGAATTAACACATAGCAGAAAGGCCAAGGGTCAAAAGAGTTGAAATCTTTTATAACCTGACTCTGAAGGCACATTTTTCCAGGATTTATTTGTTCAGATTTACCTCCTGATTTTAATACATATCCAGCCTAATAAACACATACAATAAAAACCAAAGGACCACTTAAAAACCCAAGATATTTAGCTTGCAAAACCAAGCATTTATACTCCAAACTTTGGGTATATAACCAAAAATACAATAAATTCTTTTCAAGTAAGGCTTTCAATTGGAAATCCTGTAGGCCATTCCATAGTAATATATTACAAGGATAATAGTAAAATCATGCTCTATGAAAATTTTGGTCTCATCACCATCACCTTTACTAATAAAATACCAATAAATGGCATCTACTTAAATAGGTATCATTTTTTATAGTTCTTATCATAGAGACCTGACTTTGCTCATAGTATGTGCTTAATAGATGTTTAGCACCTAAAATTATGTTGTAGGCCTAATTTATTTTTCAAAATACTTCTTGAGTAAGGTATGATACTAGCTGTTAGGGATAAAAAGATAAACAGAAAATTATTTAGATGTAAATCAAGATCAGCAAATAAAAGCTTAATTTTTTAAAGTTTTATTTAATTTTTTCGTGGATATCCTCAGAAAATGAGAAATGGTAACAGAGTTTCACACTGAGTGGTATTAAATTAAACACTGAGTCTCTGGGCAAGTCACTTAACTTTTCGAGGCCTCAGTTTTCTCATCTCTTAACAGATGGACAACAGGGTAATAATTCTACGTCATAGAGTTATTATGAAAGCTAAATATAATGATTTAAATATGCATGACCCATGGTAAGTGCTTAATAAATTTTAGCTATTATCACAATCACTTACCCTGACAGCAGGACTATAAGGAACTGCAACTTTCTTTGCTATTGCCAGATAGCCTGGTGCTGAGGCTGTAAGTTTATAGTTTCCAGGAACGAGCAATCTCCAGTAATCACCATCCTTTGCTGTGGGGAACAGAATATCAAGTCACAGGCACATATGAGAAATGCATAGTTATGCCACCTAGATTCAATTTTTATTCCCTGTCTTTAGATATTTATAGAATTTCATGAAATTCCATTGAAAAGAGTATGACACTGTCTAGAAAGCATCATTTCTTATAGCAGTTTTACAGATATTAATGTTATCTAATGAATCTTCTAATATAATGAACCATCATATTCACATCAGAAATAACACAGATTAATGGATATTCTCAAGTCCCCAAGCTGCTGGCACCATGATTTGATTCTTGCTGTCATCTGGCTGTGAAGATCTGAAGATCTGAGAGTCTGGGTAAGTATCTCACAAAGTGTGACCCAATGGCACCTCTTTGGAAATCCTGAGGGATGTGTTAGAATTTAGATTTCTAAAGACTCAGAATAGCTGGTCTGGCGTGCCTTCTAGGATTGCATTTTCAACCAGCTTTCCAGAGGATTTCTAAGCAGAGTTGTGTTCCTGCACCTACATCCTCTCTTTGAGCAGCTTAGGTTCCCAGGCTCCCCAGTCATCCACTCACATGTCTCCTTCAACTGATGTACTGTTCCTAACCTGCTTATATGCCTGGCAAGCCACCAGTACTGGGAAACACCCACCCCTCTACTCTCTGCCTGCCTCTGTGACTGCAAGGGGCTGGGGAAAACACATACTGATGATGAGCTGTCCCCTGTCTACAAACACAAGGCCCTGTCCTGCGCTGTCTTCCTCTCAAGTCCTTTCATTTTCCTGTTTCCTAGATTAGTGCACATCAATCACCTGGGAAATAGTAAGGAACAAATCTAATTCTCTGGATCTGGGGTGAGGCCTGAGATTCTGCATTTCTAGCTAGTTCCAGGTGATGCTGAATTCAATCTTGGTAGGGGCCACACTCTGAATAGCAAGGTCCAAGTGGAATTCTCCCTTTTCCTAACATCTGTACAGCATTCTCTTCATCCTCACTCTTAGTTGATGCTTCACATTGTATTAATATTTCACTGTGAATATGGAAACCATCTGAAAAAAATAAAGTCCCATCACCATCTCTTCTCCTCTCTGGACTCTACATCTTTAAGCTAGTGTCTCATTTCTCTTTTTCACTTTACAGCAAAAGTTCTAGAATACTTTTGTCAATACTCCCCATTTCAGGCCCCTTTCTCCTCCTCCACAGTCCACTGAAATAGTCTCATCAAGCCTCCACAGTGCCTCATTCAAAGGTGCATCTTTCCTGACACTTCACATTTCATCTCTCCTGAAACACTTTCAGGCTTCCCAGACAAGGCACTAGGCTTTCTCCCCACCTTTGACTCCACTGCCCCATTGCTTGTTTCTCCTGACTACCCTATGCTGCCCTTGAAAAGCTGCAGTGTCAAGGGAGAACAAGGTGGCGGAGGGGTAGGTGGATGTGGAATACATCTCTCTCCACGGATACATCAAGAACACACCTTCAGACACAGAAGTGCATGCAGAACACCAGCTGAGAGCAGACAGGAGTACCCAACCAGTGGAAAAGAATATACAGAACCACACAAAACTCAGTAGGATGAAGGAACTGGGGGGGAAACAGGAGTGTTAATAGGACTGGACCTGCCTCTGGTGGGTGGGGGAACTGAAGCAGGGGTCAGACCCCACATCAGGTCTGAGTCAGAGGAGAAACTTTTAAGGCTGAGAGTGAAACAGCTGATCTGTGGCAGCCTAAATGGAATGAGAATCAGACAGTCCTTGCCACAGCCCTACATACCCCGGGCAGGAATGCTGGTCTCCTGGAAGGGGCAGCTGCTGGGAGCTGGAGTTTAGGGATTGTGGAGCAATCTCAAGGTGAGGGCTGCTGTTGACTGCAGAGAGACGGATTGAGGGGATGTGAGGGAGGAGATAGTGGTGGGAAATGCTGGTAGCAGAAAGCCAGGCAACCATGGAAGCAAGGCAATACTGCTGAGTCATGCGTATGGGGTGGAGGCATCACCATAGCCTCTCTCTCCCCACATGCCAGCATCCGCATCTGAACAACAGAGAGGCTGGCCCGTCAAATGCCTGACTGCACTGAACTACAGAGTAGGACCCCATCCAGGGTGCTCCTTTCAGTGGCTGATGCGCCAAACTACAGAGTAGGAGCCCACCCAGGGTGCCCCTTTACGTGTCCCATGTGCCGATCTACAGAGTACGACCCCAGCCAGGGGGCCCTCTATGTGCCTGACAGCGAACAACAGAGAAGGACCCCTCTAAGCGCCTAAATGGGTGGAGCTGTGAAGAAAGACGGGCCACAGAGCCCTGCTGAGNTGGACGACCCACATGCAGAGGTGGAAATAAAACCACAACTGAAACTCAGGGGCAGTGAGGCTAAGAAAGAAGATTCAAAACCTTCCCACCAGATGTACAAGCTGCAGATTAAATACACACAACCAAAGAAGCAGATTTTGTGTCTATGGATTGTATAAAAGGCCACGGAGAGCGCCCACAAGAGAAAATGCACTAGCTCTGATAGCTGTGGACATTGGAGGCAAGAACACACGGGAGTAAGACCAGATGAGAATCTGAGCAGCCCCCACAGCAGGTTCAGATATCAGCACAGTGCTGGAGGGCATCCTAGGGAGGTGAGGTGGACTGTGACTCCCAGCGTGGGAAAGGACCCTTACAGCACCGACTCAAGAAAAACATTTATTATTCTTCTTTTTGCTTTTCCTTTTCCCCCCTCTGTTGTAGTTGTTGATTTTATTGGCATTAAGAAATCCTATTAAGCTTTTGAGTTTTTTTCTTTTTTTCCCTCAGTCACATTTTGTACTGTTGTCATAAACTTCTGCCTTTACACTGGCTTTTACAGTTCTGTGGAGTTTTCCTCTTTTTGTTTTCTGGGGTTTTTTTTTGTTTGTTTGTTTTTTATTTTAATTTTTAATTTTTTAAACCTATTATTATTTTTTTCCACATTTATTCCTTTGCTTGCTTTTCCTACTGTTCTTTTCCCCTTGCAGTTAATCTTTGACATATATAAATCTTCTTTATCTACCTCTATTTAACTTTGCATATCTATTCTTTCTTTCTTTTCTTTCTCTCCTTTCCTCTCAACATATTTGTTAGTTTTATCTTCATTGCTTTATCCCCAATTGGCAGCTTTCTTTAGTTTTGTTTTCCAGTTTGTGCTTTAATTAGTTTTGTTCTGGTAGGTATAATTTTTGGTTTCCTTTGTTCGCTGGGTCAATGTACTGTACTGTATCTTTGTAGGACTGTTTTGATTTTGCTTATGGGTGTATATGTATATGTGCATATCCAGTCACATTTTCTATTGTTGTTACAAACCTTTGCCTCTACACTGGGCTTTTGCAATTCTGTGGAGTTTTCCTCTCCCCACCCCCCTTTTTCTTTCTTCTTCCTTTTGTTCCTCTTTTCTATTTTTATTTTTTTTTGACATTTTTTTTGTTTGTTTGTTTGTTTTTTTAATTTTTATTTTTATTAGTTGGAGGCTAATTACTTTACATCATTACAGTAGTTTTTGTTATACATTGAAATTTTTTAAACCTATTATATTTTTCTACATTTATTCCTTTGCATTTCCTACTGTCCTCTTCCCCTTGCAGTTAATCTTTAACATATATAAATCTTCTTTACCTACCCCTATTTAACTTTGCATATCTATTCTTTCTTTCTTTCCTTTCCTCTCAACATATTTTTTAGTTTTGTTTTCACTGCTTTATTCCCCACTTGGCACCTTGCTTTAGCTTTGTTTTCCAGTTTGTTCTTAAGTTAGTTTTATTCTTAACTGGTAAATATAATTTTTTATTTCCTTTGTTCACTGGATCAATGTACTGTACTTTATTTTTGTTGGATTGTTTTCACTTTGCTCATGGGTGTATGTGTATATGTGTATATTCCATTATTTTAACTATTATTTGCCTGATTTTGTAACTGCATTTCTCTGGGGTTCATCTTTCATTTCTCATTTGGATATTTGTTTTAATCTCACTTAATGCCATAACAAATCACTTGTGGAATCTTCGTTCCTGACCAGAGATCAAGCCCTGAGCCTTTGGATTGGGAGCACTGACTCCAAGACCCTAGACCACCAGAGAACTAACCCTAGGGAGTATCAAAGAGTGAGAACTCATACAAAGGAAACCACTGAAATAAAAGACCCAGCATCACCCAGTCACCAGTAGCACCCTGTGCAGAATGCTTCATCTAAACAAGAAACAAAACAAAAACACAAACCCAACCATCAGCAGACAGGCTTACCACCTCACTCAGCCCTGCCCATCAGAGGAAAAGCAAGCAACCGAAAACTCAGCACAAAGCTCACCCTATACGAAGCTCGCATAAATACCAAGTGGATCTTAGGAGGGCAGAAACTAAAAGGAAGAAAGAAGTCAACCTTCTTCAAGGAAATAATTCAGCTTTCCTTCAAGCCTGGGAAAAGGAAACCTTAAACACAATAACTTAAAAAAAAAAAAGAAAAGAAAAGGCAGAGAAATGCTGCACAAATGAAGGAACAAACTAGAAACACAGAAGTCCAAATAAATGAAGAGGAAATAGGAAAATTACCTGGAAAAGAATTCAGAATAATGATAGTAAAGATAATCAAAACTTTGAAAATAAAATGGAGAAAATTCAAGAATCAATTAACAAAGCCCTAGAAGAATTAAAGAATAAACACAAACAACATGATTACTGAAACTAAAAACACTCTAGAAGGAACCAATAGTGGAATATTTGAATCAGAAGAATGAATCAGTGGGCTGGAAGATACAATGGTGGAAATAACTTCTGAGAAGCAGAATAAAGTAAAAAGAATTCAAAGAGCTGAGGACGGTCTCAGAGACCTCTAGAACCATATCAAATTCACCAACATTCGAATTATAGGGGTCCCAGAAGAAGAGAAAAGAAAGGGTATGAGAAAATTTTTGAAGAGATTATAGTTGAAACTTATCCCCAACATGGAAAAGGAAATAGTCAACCAAGTCCAAGAGGCACAAAGAGCCTCATACAGGATAAACCCAAGGAGAAACAGGCCAAGACACATACTAATCAAATTAACAAAAACTAAACACAAAGAAAAAATATTAATGTTGGGACCAGCCCAACAACAAACTGACCTGAGGGAGTGGTGCCACAGAAGAATAAGGAAAAAGAAGACTCAGAAATAAAGTGGGGATCAGGGGACTGATGCCAATTGCAGGCAAAAGCCCAGATACTAATCCTTGCATGCCTTTTATTGTTAATTTCTACTTCCTTACTCGTGCTCTAGAGATATCTATTCTTTACAATCTCAGATTGGGGATAAAGATATACAATGCACAGTCCTCAATGTCAAACCTTCAGGCCTTTCATGACTTTGTTTAGCCCTTTGACTAGTGATACCCTTTCTCAGCAACTCCCTCAAGGCTCTGGTTATTGGAACAGTCACTAATGGTTTTCCATCAGTCACATCAGTACTTCAACATCTTGTTTTCAAGATGTCTTTCCACGATGTACCTTTTACTGCTCCCAGCCCTTCGTCTGGGGGAGATGAGAAAGTTATTCTTATTTTGCAAAGAGTCCCTGTTAATTATAATACAGGTTTGTGCATAGCAAAGTGAAGTGAAGTGAAGTTGCTCAGTTGTGTCTGACTCTTTGCGACCCCATGGACTGTAGCCTACAAGACTCCTCTCTCCATGGAATTTTCCCGGCAAGAGAACTGGAGTGGGTTGCCATTTCCTTCTCCAGGGGATCTTCCCGGCCCAGTGATCAAACCCAGGTCTCCCACATTGCAGGAAGACACTTTATGATCTGAGCCACCAGGGAAGCATATTCCCTACAATTAAAAGCAGCAAGGGAAAAGCAACAAGTAACATACAAGGGAAACCCTATGCCCTTCACAGCTGATCTTTCAGCAGAAACTCTAAAGGCCAGAAGGGAATGGCAGGATATATTTATAAAGTACTGAAAGGGAAAAATCTACAACCAAGATTACTGTCCCAGTAAGGATCTCATTCAAAATTGATGGAGAAATAAAAAGCTTTTCAGACAAGCAAAAGTTAAGAGAATTCAGTATCACCAAACCAGTTTCACAACAAAGGTTAAAGTGATTTATATAGTCAAGAAATAAAAGAGAAGAAAAAAGATCTACACAAACAAACCCAAATAATTAAGAAAATGGCAATAGGAACATATATATCAATAATTACTTTGAATGTACAAGGTTTAAATGCTCCAACCAAAAGACACAGACTGGCTGAATGGATACAAACACAAGGCCCATATATATGCTGTCTACAAGAAACCCACTTCAGACCTAAAGGCACATATAGACTGAAAATGAGAGGATAGAAAAATATATTACATACAAATTGAAAGCAAAAAAAAAAAAAAGCCTGGAGTAACAATCCTCATATCAGACAACNAGAACTAGAACAAAAACTTTTACAATTTGTTTGTAAACACAAAAGACTCTGAGTAGCCAAAGCAAGCTTGAGAAGGAAGAATGGAGCGGAGGAATCAGCCTCCCTGACTTCAGACTATACTACAAAGCTACAGTCATCAAGACAGTATGGTGCTGGCACAAACACAGAAACACAGTTCAGAGGAACAGGACGGAAATCTGAGATAAACCTATGCATCTGTGGGCACTTTACCTTTGACAAAGGAGGCAAGAATACATAATGGAGAAAAGACAGCCTCTTCAATAAGTGGTGCTGGGAAAACTGAACAGCTACATGTAAAAGAATGAATTAGAACACTTCCTAACACCACACACAAAAATAACTCAAAATGGATTAAAGACCTAAATGTAAGACCAGAAACTATAAAACTCTTAGAGGAAAACATAGGTAGGATACTCGATGACATATATCAAAGCAAGATCCTCTATGACCCACCTCCTAAAGTAATGGAAATAAAAACAAAAGTAAACAAGTGGGACCTGATTAAACTTAAAAGCTTTTACACAGCAAAGAAAAGTATAAGAAAGGTGAAAAGACAACCCTCAGAGTGGGAGAAAACAATAGCAAATGAAAAAAACTGACAAAGGGTTAATTTCCAAAATATACAAGTAGCTCATACAACTCATTGCCAGAAAAGCAAACAGCCCAATCAAAAAGTGGGAAAAAGACCTAAACAGACATTTCTCCAAAGAAGACATACAGATGGATAACAAACACATGAAAAGATGCTCAATATTGCTCATTATTAGAGAAGTGCAGATCAAAACTACAATGAGATATCACCTCACCCTAGTCAGAATGGCCCTTTTCAAAAAGCCTACAAACACTAAATGTTGGAGAGGGTGTGGAGAAAAAGGAACGCTCTTGCACTTTTGCTGGGAATGTAAATTGATACAGCCATTATGGAAGATGGTATGGAGATTCCTTAAAAAAAAAAAAAACTAGGAATAAAACCACCATATGATCCAGCAATCCCACTTCTAGGCATATACCATGAGGAAACCAAAATTGAAAGAGAAACATGTAGCCTGTTGTTCACTACAGCACTATTTACAAAAGCTAGAACAAGGAAGCAACCTAGATGCCCATCGACAGATGAATGGATAAAGAAGTTCTGGTACATATACACAGTGGAATATTAGTCATAAAAAGGAATGCACTTGAGTCAGTTCTAATAAGGTGGATGAACCTAGAACATATACAGAGTGAAGTGAGTCAGAAAGAGAAAGATAAATACCATATTCTAATGCATATATATGGAATCTAGAAAAATGGTACTGAAGAATTTATTTACAGGGCAACAATAGAGAAACAGACATAGAGAACAGACTTACAGACATGGGGAGAGAGGAGGAGAGGGTGAGATGTGTGGACAGAGTAACATGGAAACTTATATTACCATATGTAAAATAGATAGCCAACGGGAATTTGCTGTATGGCTCAGGAAACTCAAACAAGGACTCTGTATCAACCTAGAGGGATGGGATGGGGAGGGAGATGGGAGGGAGGTTCAAACGGGAGGGGATAAATGTATAGCTATGGCTGATTTATGTTGAGGTTTGACAGAAAACAGCAAAATTCTGTAAAGCAATTATCTTCAATAAAAATTAAATTAATTTTTAAAAAAGCTGCAGTCCCAGAAACTGCTCTTCAGATTTCATTTCTTTCTACCTATTTATACTGCCAATGTGAGATTTTCCTAAAATTTTCACATCTGGAATGCAGAGAAAATAATGTTTACATGTTACTAAGGTTAACAAAAGCAGTTGATTGTGGCCATAGTGTGTACGGCCTAGGTCCTTCAAGAAGTCCCTCCCCGGGGGTGAAGGGAGCAATAATTTGGCACAGATTCTGGTGTATTTGTTCAGAAGGTGGGCTAGCATTTCATCAGGTGTTGATAAGCATTGTTGTTTGAATAAATAAATGGAATTTTAGAAAAAAAAATAAAGATTAAAAAATACAAATAATAAATGTGGAGGTTAAATAAGTTAATGGTATAGGATGTTTGGGAACTAATTTAAAGGTTAACTAATGCAAAGGTCTTGAAACTTGTAGAGTTAATAGTTAAAAAGATATTGTTGTTTTTGATAAGATACCAACAAATGAGAATTACACTAAAATGAGTTGGAAAGATGTTTATTAACTGGAATAGACAAGTTTGCCAGAAAAACACACCATTTCCCCCAAACTAGGAAAATGGAAAGAGGGCTTTAAACCAAGAAATAACAAACATCAACTTCAACCCTGTAAGGTCCTTTTCAACCTTGGATACATCTGGCTTTATGACACAGATCAAATGAAGAAATGGATGGGAAATCCTAGACAACAAAACACAGGCAGTTACCCTCCTTCCTACTCTTCTGCTCCCTCCTGAGGTCCACCAATTAACAGCACTTTAAAACCTCTTCTTAGAAGAGATCATTAAGATACAGCATTTTAATTCCAACTGGTTCATCTTCCTTTGCCTTGACAACCACAAAGGGTCTCACAGATGGTCTTACCTCACAGCTCTGGGGTGAGACAGCTGAAGAAATTGTGCCACCTGCCTCACCCCAATTTCTAAATACAGCAGCCATCCTAAGTAACTGCCTGACTTGTTCCCCAGATAAAAATTTAACCAGATCAAAGCTGGAGAGAGACAGTGTAAAGAGACATGAGGCATTTAATTGCTTTGCAAAGAACAGTATAAGAATATAATGATGCTAAGAAGTAGCCACAGTCTCGTCTGCAATACTAGAGCCTCTGATCACAGCAAAGAATACCCACCAGATGTGACATCATGGTCTATTCCTTCCACAGAGATGGTGGCATTCGCAATTGGGTTACCCTGAAGATCTCGGACAAATCCTTTAGCTCCTCGGTGTATCTGTGATGGTCAAGAATAACCAAAAATATTTGTATTAGAAACAACCTAAAAACACGCTTAATATCAAACATCTCCTTATTTTCTAGCAAAATACTGCAGATTCCTATTTTTTAGGAATCAAAACAAGTCCAAAAAGTCACTAAATTTTGTGTACATTCTTTACTCGGTTTTTTCTCAAGTAGAAAAATGAGAAGTAACCCCTGGAAAATTGATTTCTTATTCTGAGTCAAATAAGACTTTGAAATACCTTCCAAATCACCAAAACAAACAAACAAACAAACAAAAACCTGTCAATGTGTAAAACAGTTCTGGTCTGAACGTATGTCATTTCTTTCTATTTTGCTGCTGCTGCTGCTGCTGCTNTTATATTGAGAAAAAGCTATTGAATTAAGTTGCTGTCATCAACTAACTACTACAATGAAAACTACAAAAACAACTTTATTTCTAAATGATAATTCAACTATGTCAACATGTATTTGAAGTAAAGGAGGGTCTGAGAAAGTACTGCTTCTGAAATATCAAATGATAATCTATTAATCTTGATAATTTAGCAAAACACCATCCACCCAGCTCCAGTTGCTCCTCACTCATATGACCCCAGAAAATGAATTTTATTTTGCTACTGATGATATTCACATATTTTCCTACAGAAAGTAGGATAAATCCTATGTGTCCCTTTGTCACTAGAGAGTAAATATGGCAGTGGTACAATGTTTTATCAAAGAGATACCCTTTGTATATTAGTAAAAATTTTTTTGAATTTGCTGTTTAAAAAAAAAAAAAAAGCAAAACTCTTTAAAAGCAACACATAATTCTTTCCTCTAAAGGCAATTTACTCATGGTAAAAAAGTGATACAGCAACTTTCCAGGTGGTTCAGTGGCTAAGACTGTGCGCTCTCAATGCAGGGTGGGGTGGGTTTGATCCCTGGTCACAGAACTAGATCACACATGCCACAAATAAAAAATCCTGCATGCTGAAGATTGAAGATCCTATGTGCTGAAACTAAGATCCAATGCAGCCAAATAAATAAACATTTTTGTAAAATGTGATATGTTTGCAGTAATAATAATAATTTTAATGGCAACCAGGAAAGTAAGAGAGTAAACACGTTTTTAGAACAAAAGGCATTTTTAACCTTTTCCCCAAGACTCACCTGTGGACTAGCCACCAAAATTGAATAAGACTGAAATTTAGCTACTGGAAACAAGAGAAGTTAGCTTTCTGAATGAAATTCACATTGTAAAGGTATTAGAAAAATTGTGGAGATCAATTTATTCATCTTGGGGCACTATAATCCTGATATATAAGTTTGAAATTTCCTCACCATTGAAAAAATAAATCAATCACTTCAAAAACATATAATTCACCTACATTGGGTATAAATATATCCATTAATATTCATAACTGTACTTTTTTCTGCCTCTGCAATCCAAGACTTAAATTACAGTATGTGATTAATAAATAGTTATGTTAGGTAGGAAATTAGGCATGAGCAACAAGTGGTGGCCTAGCCAAAAAGGATGCAAGCTGATCTCTAAACCCCATCCTAGACACACCCAGGAGAGCTCACAGATGTGCTTCAAAAATAACCACAGAGACTTTTTCAACTCCTGCACATGCACCGTAGCACACAGTGAATACAAACTAACCACAGGGGCTTCTCCAAGTAACCTTAGGCAGCTAGGGGCCCATTAAGGGCTCATAAATACTCATAATATGGATGGATTTATGGATTCTTACATAGTCATAAGTATGTATGTGTTCATATATACATATATCTGACTGTACAAACTGAATTATGGGAAAGACATGCACAACAGAGACTGTTGCTGTGTATCTTGCAACTGCCAACTGGCCTTGAGTGTGTGCCCTTTCCTGAGAGGTGGTGAGTAGAGGCCCTGTTTTGCACAGGACAGAACCAAGAGGAAGAGACAGGAAGTATAAAAGGAGAAGCCAAGAGGGATTGTTATGACTCCATTGGGGTTGGCCTACTTCCACGTTTCTTTAGTAAAAGTTCTGTCTGCTTGAGCTATAACTGAGCTGTAACTTGTCTGTTGTTTCAAGCCCTTTACCATCATTCTAAATCTTTGTTACTATGAGACAAGAACCAAGGGTGAGAAATAAACCAACTTGATGGTTAAATAAACAAATGTCTCATATGCCAATTATGGAGCATTATTTTTCTGTTTGAAATTTTCCACTATAGGAATAAATCTCAATGGAAATGTTATGGGATAACAGGACTCTACAGAAATGAAGACTGGAAAACACAGTTACTTTATGGTGTTTGTAAAAGAAATCCCAGAAGTTTATTAATAAATTTCACTCATATCTGGGGAAGTTATTTTACTACACGTGTTCTTCCTATAATTCTCCCTCCCCAGATTCCAGACATTTCAATCAAACAAAGCCAAAAAAAATTAAAAAATCAAATTCTTCATTGTTGCTAGAATTGTTTAATGTCAATAACCCTTAAATCTTCAAATACTTAAGTGTCCCCCAGAGGGATTGCTGAAATGGAGACTCTGGGGTCCTGCCCTTCAAGGAGTGTGATTCAGTGTTGAGAATGAAAACTCATTTTTAACAATAATCTAGATGAGTCAGAGGCAAGTGATCATAAACCATTCTTTGAAAAATCCTTTGGAAATTTTGAGAACTAAACAGTTCCATGGCTATTCCATAGGAGCTGTTCTTAGCAACTATTTATGCTGATTAACTTTACAACTCCAGGTACTAAAAACATCCTTTTAAGTCTCTGCAAGAGACTTCTTCTCAACCAATTATTGAATTAGATTTCCTAATCACCAATTGAATTTTGCCAAGAAATGCACTGGTCATAGCAGCAAACACCCTCTTCCAAAAAAACTCTACACATGGACATCACCAGATGGCCAACACCAAAATCAGATTGATTATATTCTTTGCAGCAAAAGAAGGAGAAGATCTATACAGTCAGCAAAAACAAGACCAGGAGCTGACTGTGGCTCAGATCATGAACTCCTTATGCCACATTCAGACTTTTCTGGCTTTCTATTTTAAATTTGGTTAATTATGTATACTTTATATGCCAGCTGTCAGTTAACAAGATATCACATTATAGCCCTTCAATACTTGTTCCTTTTAGATAAAAGGATATACATACTGTGAATATTTTTGCATTAAACCCACTAATAATATTATTTTGGTTGAAAATCAGTGGATGAAAAGTCAGTGAACTTACTAACTGAAAACTGGGTTTATTAATAAAATAGAAAATTTTATATTGAGAAAAAGCTATTGAATTAAGTTGCTGTCATCAACTAACTACTACAATGAAAACTACAAAAACAACTTTATTTCTAAATGATAATTCAACTATGTCAACATGTATTTGAAGTAAAGGAGGGTCTGAGAAAGTACTGCTTCTGAAATATCAAATGATAATCTATTAATCTTGATAATTTAGCAAAACACCATCCACCCAGCTCCAGTTGCTCCTCACTCATATGACCCTAGAAAATGAATTTTATTTTGCTACTGATGATATTCACATATTTTCCTACAGAAAGTAGGATAAATCCTATGTGTCCCTTTGTCACTAGAGAGTAAATATGGCAGTGGTACAATGTTTTATCAAAGAGATACCCTTTGTCTATTAGTAAAATTTTTTTTGAATTTTCTATTTAAAAAGAAAAAAAGCAAAACTCTTCAAAAGCAACACATAATTCTTTCCTCTAAAGGCAATTTACTCATGGTCAAAAAGTGATACAGCGACTTTCCAGGTGGTTCAGTGGCTAAGACTGTGCGCTCTCAATGCAGGGGTGCTGGGTTTGATCCCTGGTCAGAGAACTAGATCACACATGCCACAACTAAAAAATCCTGCATGCTGAAGATTGAAGATCCTATGTGCTGAAACTAAGATCCAATGCAGCCAAATAAATAAACATTTTTGTAAAAAGTGATATGTTTGCAGTAATAATAATAATTTTAATGGCAACCAGGAAAGTAAGAGAGTAAACACGTTTTTAGGACAAAAGGCATTTTTAACCTTTTCCCCAAGACTCACCTGTGGACTAGCCACCAAAATTGAATAAGACTGAAATTTAGCTTCTGGAAACAAGAGAAGTTAGCTTTCTGAATGAAATTCACATGGTAAAGGTATTAGAAAAATTGTGGAGATCAATTTATTCATCTTGGGGCACTATAATCCTGATATATAAGTTTGAAATTTCCTCACCATTG